CTGAGAATTCTGAGTGCCTTAATGCCGTCCCCTTTATCTGTTTATTTAGTATACAGGGTGTTTCTTGTAAGGTGTCAAGCCGAAGGCAGGTGATAGGTGAGGACTAGACCTATCGATTTCACCCCCATGTATGTTTTACGATTTTTCATAGTTTAGAAGTTATCGTTAATTTTGTGATTTTTTCAAATTGTATGACTAAACTTAGAGAATTGCAAACATTAGTTAGTCCTAAGAAAGTCAAAAACATGTAACGGAATCTCCGACTTACCACTTTAGTGGAGCGATTACAGAAAATAATGGCCTATTAAGTACATGTTTTTTTGTGTTATTATGAAAGTTCAGAAAACTGCGCAGTTTTTAAAATTACTTTGGACCTATGGAATTTCTTTTTTTTTTTAAACTTTTAAGTTGAAAATTTTAGAATGTTCCGCTAAAAGCATATTTTTTATGTTTCTAGCAAAAGTTTTGTATCTTGCATCAAAGATAGGAAGTTGATTATTTTTTTCAAAAAATCTGCAATTAATAAGGAATCTGTCAAAAAAAAGAAATCTGAGAAAAGTCGACCCAAAAAAAAAGATAAAAAAATTTAGAGCCTACTGGGTCATACAATTTGAAAAAATCACAAAATTAACGATAACTTCTAAACTATGAAAAATCGTAGAACATATATGGGGGTGAAATCGATAGGTCTAGTCCTCACCTATCACCTGCCTTCGGCTTGACAGTTGACACCTTACAAGAAACACCCTGTATATTAATTAGTATCTCTTGATGATATTGTAGCAAGTTAAACCTAAAATCATGTTTTCCGTAAATAACTAATTTAAATAGGAATGCAATTTACGAGTTTGTTGTTTGATTATTATATATTACTACTCAATTAAAAAATTAAATTTAAAAAAATNCGAAAAATGTGACAACGCTCTTAATTTAAAAAACAGTTGACAATGACTACTCGAGCGGACTGTGCAAGTTGAGTAACTGCCCAAACGGCTAGTATATGGCCGCCCTAATTGTATGCAAGTAAAGAGCACTCATTATTATCAAACTCGGTTGGTGACATGGCATAAAGCAATATAACACATTTACCTTAATCCTTGTTACTGTTATTATAAGTAGTTCCTAAGCCATTTAAATTAATATTAATAATCGATAGACAATTATTATTCATAAAACATTATCGCCAACTACTGACATTTCGTAATTATTCTATGGAAATAAGACAACATATACTAAATTAAAAATGTACATAAACAAAGGCAAACTTATACCGTCGAACAAAGGTACCATTCTTGGAATTGCACCTGAATAATAACATAAGGTAACAAACAATTATTATGTATTACACAATACTATATTTATTGTATTGTAGAGTTGCACTTTGGTGTTTAACCTCCTATGTCCCACACTACAATTTGCTGATGGTGTTTAAAATTACCGATCCTTTTTACATGAGATATGTCAATCGCTGTCTGAAATTGCCTTCTTCCGACGTTTTGCTTGTTTTGGCTTGACGAAATCTTCCTCCTTGAAAAAAAGAACACCCCTTTAGTTAAAATTTAGGTGACATAACAAAAAGGGCGAGTTTATTAAAATAACTAAACTTTTCCAATTTGGCACGTATCTGCGTATACTGGAATAAAACCGTTTTCTGATACCTTCTAAGAGATAAACTTGGTATCCTTCCGTTTGGCCAAATTACTTTTCGCCAAATTTCACTTCGCAAACAACTTATCGCCAAAGTTTCATTTCCCAAATGAACTTTTAGCAACTGTACTTTTCGCAACTAATTCATTTGGTCAAATTATCACTTGGCCAAATTTTACTTGGCAAATGTTTATATAGCAAATGTTTTATGTTGCCAAATATTATATCCCAAATAATTTGTTTGGTCAAATTGACACTTCACATACTTACCCACCGTTACCCACAAATCAAAGCATAAGGCACATGATCATGGTTTTCACAATAATTTTATGTAAAACATTGTAGAAAATAGTATGGTTGCAAAAAGTAGGTATTGCAGAAAATAGTAGGTTAGGTTAGGTTAGAACAGTGACCCTTAATGCGCGAAGGCGAGCGAAGCGTGCCGCGGCAGCGGCCGCCGAGCGCTAGAATCACCTCTATTGTTAATGAATCATATGGAAATTTCGATACAAAGATTGAAATAAGGAAATTAATGTATAACAAATTTTATATTAACTACCCACTAAACAAAATAATAACCACAAGCTAATTTGTATACCATTCTATGCACCAATCAAATTATTTTGTAAATAGTTTATCGTGAAATATTTTTGCCTAATGAAACATTTGGCAAACCATACTTTGCCAAACAATAATTTGCTAAACAATAATATGCCAAAAAAAACATTTGCGAATTAAAAGTTTGCAATAAGTTGCTTTGCCAAATGAAAATTTGCGAAACGTTGTTTGCGATGTGATAATTTGGGAAACGTTTTTTGGCCAAACATTAGTAATCCGATAAATTTCTCTGCTTGTATTGTGCTGTGCAGGAATCGAACCTGCGACCTCTGGTAAAGTAGTCTGGGGAGGCCAGGCGGTCGACGCAACGTTGGTATAAGTACTTGGGAATCACATCCATTATTTATAAAACATAGAGTCCAAGTTCCTAACTCAACAAGTTACTTATCATAATGGTTAATAAATTATTAAAATATTACATACCTCACTGTCGTCATTTGATGAATGTAAATTCTGGTTGATAGGCAACGAATTTGAGACTAATTTTCTAGCGCGCCTTGAAATTGGTAATTCGTCTTCCCATGCTAAAGTAAATAATTCGCTATACTGTTTCTGAAAAGAGAAAAACAACAGTGCATTATTATTTTCGCGATTACTTCCATTCCAAATGGCTATTATCAAATTAATATTATCTAATTAACATCTAAATAATGAACTTTGCGATGCCTTTTTGTTTGTCAATTAACAAAATGACAATTATTTATTATTTAATGTTATTTTAAATATGGTCCGCGCCAATGGAAAGTGACAATTTTGTAAATCATCAACAGCCCTTTACAGTCCACTGCTGGACTATGAGCCTCCTCCACTATAGTGGAGGGTTTTGCCATAATCTCCACGCTAGGCAGGCGGGTTGGAGATCGCAGTTTAAAAGATTGATGTTTTTCAGAGAGCGCTGCTGCCCATTCTCTGTTTGATGTGTAGTCCCTAAGTCGCCTCTTACGACACCCGCGGGAAGAGTAGGGGTTGGTGACAAATGTATTCTACTCTGCCGTCACCACACGGCTTAGTTAGTTTTAATCTACCTAGAATACAGCTATGTCAATGTTTCTTAGCTTTAGCCTAGTCGCAGACCACTGACTTTTAGTTGGACGATAGTTGGGTCGGGCTGTTAATCAGTATGGACATGACAATGTGTGGAAGTGCGCACATTACACTGATTTTATTTTCATACAAATTAAAATCGGTCCCAACTATCGGCCGACTACTTAATAGTTGGTGGTCTACGCCTAGGCTTATTTGCCGTTAAACATTGCCGTACACAATATCAGTACATGGCATAGTTACTCATAGTTACTCAGTTACTCACCCTTAGACTATCACTACTATTCGACTGTGCTTGTTGTAAAGCTTTCTGCATACATTCCATGTTGAAAATTGACATATCATCTTGTTCCACGCAGTGTACTCTCATTTGTTCCAAGTGACCAAGGACCTGTAAAAGATTTTAATACTCTTCGTTAACATCGACCATCGAGTGTCGCTATAGGCGTTCGTTAGTTCGAACTTTTGGGTTCATGTTTACATTAAAGCACATTTTCCTGTTAACTGTTCATAGAAGTTAATTGCTAAACATTATTATTAATAACAGGGAAAAGCAGATTCACTGGCTTAACATAACTACATTACCTATGATAAGTTAAATAAAGCCATTGGCATATTAAGGGCCTTGCCACATTGGCGGATTACAAGCATTTTCGCTGCGTCGCCGCTCCGCTTTGAAAACGCTTTTGTAATCCGCCAGTGTGGCAGCTCACTAAGAAATTAAGGGATAAATAATTTAGTAGGTTTCAAAAATTGCTTACCAATTCAGCTGAAGGTGGGGCGTTAGGCGGTATGCTGTGTTTTCCAGGGCGTTTTCGCTTATTGGGACTCGTTCCAGGGTATCGCGTGCTCAGTAACACCGAAAGCATATCTCCAACTTTATCTTCATAATCTTGACACCAATATAATAAAGTTGACACAACAAATGTATCCTCTTCGTCAACGTCTCTACAGAATAACTGTCGTAGCACGTCCGCTGTTGGCCTTTCCTGCTTCAGCATCAATAGAACTGATGTCAGCGCTTCGGCGTGGTCTTTGTATGAGAGTTTGGGTATGATAGGCAAGACGTCCTCGACAGATATATCGTGCGCGGTAAGAAGTTGCCAAAGACAATATTGTTCGAACGTTTCCCAACCAAGGCTGGTGGACAGCATTGTGGTGATATCGTCGGATTTGAACATCATGAGATTGCCCTGGAGCGTCAGACACACCAACCTTTGAAGCTGACCCGCGTCCAGCGTCGAGACAATAGCATGCAATAACCTTATGTGGTTTTGAGCCTGGTCCTTGAATTCTCGGTAAACATCTGGTATCAGCCACACCAGAACATTTGCATCACACTCCTGACTCGTCTCAAAATCGGTAGCTAAACTATCTCCGAGTTTGAGCTCCAAGTAGCTACAATACTCTTTGTATAAGTCTGCTTTGAATTTAATATTCCTTCTTTTAGCCCCGTCTCGTTCTGAGCGACGCTCACGTTCGTATCCAACTTTTAAATAAAACAGTAAATAAAATCCCACACTGTGGAAAGTGTTTTGAGCGTGGATTTCCTTGAATGTTTCTAATACGAGTTTTCGTCTAGCTTCTGCTCCCTCGCCGGTGCCTCTCAGAAAAGTGAACATGGAAAATATTGGAGAATTTAAAGCAGCATCCATTTCCGCGGGACTGGGACTGCGACTGGTGCGAAGAGGAGGTAAATCTTGTATAGCAGCCGTGAAGAGGTCGGCAAGAGCGGTAGGCGTAGGCATCGGTGCACTACAGGCGTTAAGTAGAGCAGTGGCCGCAGCAGCAGTACGTTCGTCTAATAGAGTTTCGGCGAGCGGCCTCAAGATTAGCGGCAACGCTGCGGCCAGCTCAGGACGCTCTCGAGCTCGGACTTCTGACAACGGGAGATCGTCGTCATCTGTATCTTCTGCTATGACTGGCGGTGGGTCGTCCTCGTCATCAGAAAATGCCGGCTCATCAGGGCCTCCGCGGGGTAGTTCTTCATTATTATCATCACGTAATCCAGAAACGCCTTCACCATTACCGTTACTGCAGAACTCTTTGAATGTTTCTCTTACAGTTGTGCGCAGTTCTCTGTCTAATTTAGGTGAATCGAATAATGGTTGTAAATTAGGCAACACTCTCTTTTCAATAATTTGTTGCAATGAATTAAAAATTCCTTGTCTAACTTTGTCAGCATAAGGAGGATAGAAATTTGGAATGATTCGACACAGAAAGTCTAGTAAAGTGGCTGTAACGGCTGGATGTGACCGCATTGAATTATGCATGACCAGAATGGCTGGCTCTATATTCATGATATTGTCCTTTTCGGGATCATAGAACAACCAATCGTAGAAAAGAGCAAGCTTTGCATTGGATGCAGCAACATTAGATGTGCATGTTGTAAGTAGCCAACCAATCACAGCCCACCTTGGAATGATATCTGAACAGAGCAATTCATTCGTTGGATGTATTACACCAACAATGAATCTAATCATATCACTTCTGAGAGATTGTGATTCTGGAGTTGCTAGATATTGTCTCTGAAACCATTCTTGATACTTTTTGTGATGGCCAAACCGTACTTGTGACGTCAAAAAAACTAGTTTTCTTTCCATATCAGGTGTTAGTCTGGATTGTAAATACCTGCGTGATGTTCTAGTTTGAAGGAGTTGCAAAACATTGGTGAAAGTTGGACACAACGTTTTTGGATTAGTCAATATATCTTGCCAAAGTTGACTAAATTCCGGTATGCGAGCAACATTCTGGAGTAAACGTACCAAATCTCTGCCCAAAGACAAAACATCTGCAAACCTTTCCCTTATCAATGCAATCACAAAATTGACTTCTTTCTGTCGTAGGTTCATCAGTTGTGGTATGTTGTGGTCTTCTATCAACCTCAAGTATGTGTACACAACCATACAAATAAGCACTGGGAATTTGTCAAGCCAAGCTCTATTTTCAATGTAAATGTCCAGTAGAGATTCCACTAAGATTATGTTTTTAGGAGAGATATCGCCTCCAGATGCATAACGCATCAGATTCCAACACACACTATCAACTCCAGTAACTGCATTTCTTATCATTTCCTTAATAAGCCATAAAAGTTGATTTCGAGTTGTATCTTGAAATTTTAAATACCTTTCTAAGATCAGATTTGTCAAATTGTTGAGCACACATGTGAGACCATCTCTGGTGATGAGAGTAAGGTCTCTATAGCCCTTGGTAGCATTATGAGGCTCCGTTAGAATGGACATGAGTAGCCCAAGTGATACATCTTCATGGTTTTTGCACACTGCATTATTGAGAGCATCGTGAGCTTCCTTCTCGCTGCAGTCAGCCACCAGAGAGTGGACATAGTTGTAAGCTCTCTCGTACCTCTGAAAAATGGGAAATCACACATGAGCTAAAGTTACCAAGTTATCAAACTTGATGCAAATTGAACTTTCGCGCTAGTGGAACACCAGCGCCGCTACGGTCGATATGGGAAAGTGCGGTTGTACATGGCTGACTAAACGATTCTTTGTTGGGAAACTGCGAAATTGTAGACAGTACCTCTTCTATTTCATCCTTGTTTTCTATGGCGGTGCACACGAATAATCTAGGTGAATTAGATTTGCCCTGCTCCATAATTTGTAAATTATTATATCTACTTATTTTAATAAAAATCGAACACAGGTTGTCCCCTGCATGGCTATCGTAGGCGAAAAATATTTATGAAGCAACACAATCAAAATCATGAATGTGTGAGTATGTCATCGTGGATCAAACAAAAAGTTTCATGTCACCACCAGATGGAGCTTTAGTCCAAAAAACGTTTCGTTATTTACATATAAATAAGTTCACAATTTTTGTTATTAAATTTAATTAAAACTTAACGAAACTTTTATTTCAAAATCAGTTTAATCAGCTTACAAAACTTAATTTTTATAAAAATTATAGAATAAAAGCTGTAAACTGAATAGGCAGTGTCGTGTCGTGCGTGCCTAAGAAAAATTTTTTTTTTAAATATTTTCCTTTTTTTTTCTTCAGGCAGGAAATGCATGAACTTGCATACCTACCCACTGGCCCAAGGGAACCATTGGATTATGATTTGAGGCTTTGCCTTTCATATAGCGGGTTATTATCCGAGCTAGACGCGGTCTAGACATTTTATCGCGGCTCCGCCCCATTGCACTAACTTTCTCACATTTTACATAATAAAATTACAGATAAAAACCTCATCTTTGTTATTAGAAGCATGTGCTCTCCCTACACAATCAATAAAAACCTCTCAACATTTAACAAAGCTTAATATGTTGACATGTTTTTGTTAATTGTGTAGGGCAAAACAAGCGCTGGAGATCCGATCAATCAAACATTGCCGCGCTGTGGAAATGGAAAAATTATATTCACTTTGGGTAGTGTGGTGTCTAAAGGTTTTCAGCCAAGTCATCATCCACAGTCTGTCTGTGAGTTTATAGCTAATCTGTGACCGGAACCGGAACACTTGTCTTCGTCGACAAATTCGCCATTTTGTTGAAGTGCAATCAATTTGTTGTTGCTTCGCCTTCGTGCGACTTTTGTAATTCAAAGGATTTAGGATTTAGTATTACCAAACACTTCTAAAACAGGTAGATTTGCATTCCGTAAATAACAAAATTAAGTGAAATTATTTTCTATCCACCTAGGTACTGTTTTTCACCAAAAACAGTTCCTGTGTGTGTAGCCGGCAAGTTCCTTAAAATTGTGATAAACAAAATTGTTTATTTGGCGCATGGAAGCCTTAAATAGACGGATAAAGCAGCCCTGTTTAATTTTAGATCAAGATGGAAAATCAACAAAGGGAAAAAGACCGTGACCGATCAAGGCGTGGAGACCGACCATCAAGATTCTCAGATGCTACACGCGACCGGTCTAATGATCGAGATCGTCCGGAAGGAAAACGCTTGTTTGTTTCAAACATACCCTATGAGTTTCGTTGGACGGAGTTGAAAGACTTATTCAAGGAAAAGGTTTGTGTTTTTCCACTGTACCCTGTTAATGCGCAGCTTAGGTCAATGTAGAGATCAGCAATGCGAATGACGATAGCAGAGATTTAAATTTTAGTTAGATCAATAGGTTATCGATTTCCCTAACACCCTGTTAAACCAAAAGGGGTCAGAGGGCAGGATCTGCTTTACTGGATCAATAAATGTAAAATTGAGAAGTACAATTTGCTGCATCCATCATTGTTAATCTCTTGCTGGAGGGCCTATAACCTGTTAGCAACCAAATGATAATAAAGATTTATTGAAAGAGAAAAACATTGATGATAAAGCAAAAAACTAGTTTAATGATTTGTCACACTGGATGGAGAATTCTTCATTTTGTTCATAACTGCTCAATGTATACTTGAAGGAGTATTAACTTCATTACGAAAGGTGCTAGTTGGGGTGTACAGGCGGCGTGTGGCCTTATTTGTCTTTATTTTTTGCATTAGTGACTGATAGCACTATAATTATTATAACAGAAACCCTTGCATCATTGTTATTTATTTCCAAAATGTTTAATTAAAACTCTTCAACTTTTATTTCCAGGTGGGAGATGTAGCTTATGTGGAGTTATTCAATGATGAGAATGGAAAACCAAGAGGATGTGGGGTAGTTGAGTTCACAAACTCTGAAGCAATGAAGAAAGCTCTGTTTGTCATGCACAGATATGAACTGAATGGGAGGAAACTAGTTTTGAAAGAAGAAACTGGTGGGTATCAGAGACATTATAATTTTTCTCTAATTTTCCACAAATCAATGTTTGTAATGGCAATTTGTTTTAGGCAATGAGCGCAACAGGCTTAACTCGTCAAGGTCCACAGGTGGTGGTGGTGGAAGAAATAATAGAGATGACAAAGATGGGTATGTGTGTGTGTATTTCCTTATTTATTGCTATTAGCATCAAATGATGTTATTTCCTGTAACATTGCTAAGCTAGCTACTTATTTCTATTTAGGTTTAATTTAACTTACACCTAAAATGTAAACTTACAGATGGAATATGAACAAGCCAAGGGAACCAGAGAATTTCAACACATATGGACTTAGTCTTCAGTTTTTGGACTCCATCAATGTACAACCACCACTTGTAAAGAAAGTTTTTGTAGCTAATGTGAGTACTTACTTAAATTTTTTAAATCTTTTTTTACTTTAATAATAAATACAAAACAAGGCATATCTTCTCATTTACTATTTTTTTTTAATAGTTGGACTACAAAGCAGACAGAGCTAAAATCAAGGAAATCTATAAAATGGCTGGTAAAGTAAGGAATATTGACTTGGCGGTTGACAAAGATGGTAATAGCAGGGGATTTGCAGTTATTGAATATGACCATCCAGTGGAGGCAGTTCAGGTACATAGTATTATAATATTACAACTGCTCCTAAAGTATTACATTTTGAATTACTGAGAATATGTAATTTTTTCAGGCCATATCTATGTTTGACAAGCAAATGCTGTATGATAGGAGGATGACAGTCCGCATGGACAGGGGACTATCTGATAAGACCGAGTTCAGGCTACCTGAAGGTCTGAAAGGCATTGGTCTTGGTTTGGGACCTAATGGAGAACCTCTGAGAGACGTTGCTAGAAACCTGCAACAGACGTCAACAACTAATAACTTGAGTTTGGCCAACACTAATGCACCGTTGAGCACAGGAGTGTTGGGTGCTGTGCCGACAGCAGCTAGTGTCGCTTTGAATGGCTTGGGCTCTGGTCTGTCCACCAACTCATTGAATACCGGTTCTGCATTGGGTGGAAACCTAGGACTCCAGGTATGGTTATGACTTCTGATCACTAATATTTTCACATACTGCTCTAAACTAAATATTTTCTGGTACATTGACAAAGTTACTTTGCCTTCCACCATTCTGATCAGTTTGATTATGTTTTTTTGTTTTGTTATCTGAGATTCCCCTGATTGAAAATAAGGGCATGTAAATGCAGTAAAAAATCGACTTTTTGCATTGACCAACATTAACAATATTTATTATACTTCCAGGCTTTAGGACTGACTGGCTTAGGAGCTCTTCAAAATCAGTTGCTGCAGCAGGGACTGACAGCAAACGACTTGGCAACAGTTCTTACCGCGCAAGCCGCAAATGTGAACACCAATGCTCTGACTCTGGCAAACACTGACCTTGGTTCAAGCGTAATGAACAGCATGAACAACATGAACAACATGAATAACATGAGTAACTCTGGCTTGACTACCAGTGTGCTGGGCAACAATACAAGCATGAACAGTGGACCTCTTTCTGGTACTTATAATTTATTCTGAATATGTCATCTATGTCAATGGTAACAAAGTTCTTATTTTCTAAAAATTGCACATGTTTTAGGTTCAAACAGGCCACTGGGAGTATCTGTAACAAACCAAGGTTACAATCGCGATTCAGGTGTCCAGCAAAGGGACAAACCCTCTGATATGGTTATCATAACCAATGTAAGTTTCATGTCTTTTGATTTTATCTAAAGCTTGTGAGATACTTAAGGAAATTTATTGATATAAAATTGATTAAATGATCATTGTTCTTTTAGCTTCCACCTACAGTAACATGGCAGCTGATCCGTGAGAAATTCAGCGAGTGTGGAGACGTCAAGTTTGCAGAAATGACGGCTCCAGATACCGCCATCGTTCGCTTCCATAAAGAGTGGGACGCCGACAGAGCTATCAGTATCCTTTAAAATTATTATTATAAAACAACACAAGTGCAATTCATTTGCAAATTCATGATAAGGCTGGCATAAACTGATTATAGAGTCCAAACCTGTAGGCCTAAGATGCGCGCCGCGATAAGCGGTTATCACGCCATTTTATCGATTTTGCCCATACATTTTGACGTCGATAAAAGTTATCACGGCGCGCATCTTAGGCCTACAGGGCTCGAATGTAGTTACGTAGACACTTATTTCCTTCACGAAAGTTTTTTTTTCTTCTGAAAAAGATAAACTTTTTCGACAATTTTACCTAAGTCTAATGTCCTTCTAGAAAGAAAGTTACCTAAGAGATGTAATATCTGATCTTTTCCTTAGACAGAAATGGTTTTAATGCCAAATTGTGTTACAATAATGGTTTTCTTACACCAAACTAACAGAAATGTTCGACAGGACCCGTATCGACGGCAGAACCATTGATGTTCGCTACTTCTAAAACATCAGTGGAACCTTGAGGTTAGTAGATTTCTGTTACTTTTTGACATTGGATTCGTAGATCGTCTTTGACTTTCTTGCAGTAGGAAAATTCTATGGCCATTGTCTTGCATTCAAAAACGTTATTGGTTTTTACCGTTACCATTCATGACGTTATATTACAATCTTTCGAAACTTCATATCTATGGTTTGGAACCTCACAGTTATTACTAAATACAAAATTAAAATTGCCATTAAAAGTAATGAATTGAATTTCTGTTATTCAGTTGGTCATGTCCCTGTTTGGCACCATAAAATAAAAACTTTCGGCGATAAGTCTTCCCATTGTATTTCCTTTTTTGTATTAAATTGTGTTATCAACGGAACCAATTCGATTACATGAGATGATAGGTGTCCAAAAATCTGGTGTCATAAAATAAAATAGTGAAATTGTTATGTTTTGTGTTTTCAGGAATATGAGGTTTGAAGTCGGTCTGTAGTGGGCTCTGTCTAAAAACTCTGCTGCCTGGATTTCACCTTCGTTTTTAAGTCTTTCTCGATGTAACGTATACTCTACAATTCCTACATTATTCTTCTGGTTGATTTCAATCTATCGACATTTGTATCTTAGGATAAAGTAGAATAAGTGTCTTAATGTTTCTGTACATCCAATGATTAAGATTAATAAATTCCTTGAACTAAGTTTGAGACGTTCTAACTTAAATTGAAGTTGTAGTTGTTATTATGTTACCTAAAGGAGATGCAAAGAATTTGGGAAAGCTATCCGAATAGTACGCCAAGTCGACTTATGTGTACATTTTCGGTATCAATTTTATCACACCATATAGCATTTTTAGGTAGTGTAACCAGTAGCTGTATCGGTTTAGGTAATTTTTTTGTATCAGAATAGGCTTCCTGATTATGCGCAGTCGGGTAAAATATGTTTTGCGTTTCAACACGTCACAGTAGGTAATCGAAGAACATCCTTATTTGTGTTGTTATTATTAATAACATGCGAGTTCAAATTATTATCTAACATCGCCTCATACAGAGATTCGTATGGAGGAAAGCCATCGATGTCATTTGTTATATTTATTGCAATCGGCTTCAACGAAATCGTATTATTTTGTTATTATTGGCTGCGACTAAAGTTTGTTGGAGAGTCACAGATTGATTAAAACGTGGGAATGCAGTCACAACTAAATCTGAATTGTGTTGGTTGTTCTCCGATTTTAGATCACCGATAAGCGAGGCTTCGGAGTAAATGTCAGTTATTGCACAGCATCTAAGCCAGTTGCGTCCATCCAACAAATTATACGTCGAGTTCTGCTTGCAAAAATCATTAGTCAGAATGAATACAGTTGCTGGTAACGAGGCGTAGTCTGTAGTTGCAAGTCACAGAGAAGATGAGAGCGTTTATTCCTTTTATCTGTGGTCGATTGAAACCGATTTTAGCGATATCTGCACTGCAAAAATAAGCAGCAATTCATACGAAGGTGGATCTGCAATATGAGTCACTCAAATTCCATGAACTGTTCCCATATGATGCATCTAATATTGTCGATTCGGCTTCGTTGAAACTTGCGCACGGCAATATGATGCCAAGTCGCCACAAAATGTAATAAGGTTTGTGGTAATGTTAACTGTTAGACATTATATTCGAAGTCGAGCCAGGAATTATCTTAATGCACCCTAATTTAACTTTCAAACACATTACGAACAATATCGGCGTTATGGTTAGACGCTCTCCGTATAACTTGTGCCATACTTCTAAAACTTTGTTAAAAATAGCTCCACGAAGTCTCCTAGTATTGAGAAGAAGGCGTTTGTCGAAGATGAAATCTTCAATGATGTCGGTCGCTGCTGTACGAAGTCAATTTTGAATACCGAGGGTAAGTTGATCTGTTATCGGACGGATTTGTATTTGTTTTGACGGGCATGCATGGGGTTTCGATTCAAAAAGGGTGTCATTATTCCTTATTATCTTGTGTAGACACTGTAGTTGCTTCAGTTTTCCTCCGTCTTTTCACACGGTAAATCTTCTGCGTGCATTGGAACTTGCAAGCGTTCACTGCTGACCACAGCTTGTGATTCTGTTCCGCAGTGGCCGAGAAGATTTGTTGCATCGATTCGGTCTGTTTTCGCCTAAGCGAGTTAGTGTCGAGAAGAGCATTCTTGCTTGGGTTGCGACTGTGGTGGTGTCATAGTCACTTGACGGTGGTCTCCAGTTTTAGCAGTCGGCAGTTTATCCGATTTTAAACGCAACGTACTTGATGCGACAATGATAACAGGTTTTATAACAGTTTTTAATATTTTTCAGGCTCCCAATGAAATAATGGCAATAGATTGATTCTATTTGGCCAAAGTTAACTGATAATGAAGAGAAATTATAAGAACCAATGACTCGGTCATCATACCGATGTCTCTATGATAAGATGGTTTTCAAATGGCAAGATATCTCTTCGAAGGTAAGATAATTTGTTCATGATATATTTTTTAATGAAAAAAAAAAAATTTCAAGTTTTATGAAATTTTACTACTTTCTGAAAGTAATATAACATATTTATTTCAGGAGGATAGATACTATAATAGTATGTATGGTAAAAAGCAGGCAGATGAATTTATACATATTTTAAGAAGTTTTGATAATTTTCTTACTTAGAAAATAAAAGATATCTATTAGCTTGTAAGATATCGAAGTAATTGTTTTTAATATTTAACACTGTATTCTTGCCTAACTGTTTTCTTCTTACGTTTGCGCCATAAAGACAATCTTCATTTTATTTTCATTCCAGTCGGATAAAACTAATTTTATTTTATTTGTTACAGTGATCGTGAGCTGACGCGGGTCGGTGGCTCAGTAGTGGTGTTGAAGATGGAGTTATACATTACGTTTATTTTTTTTTATATTTTTTATACAAATAAAAAACATTTTTAAACACTTGTTTTATTACTTAAATTACTTTTTAATTCTGAACATCGTCCACATTCTAACTCTAGGAATAATATAACGAAATGCTCGCATGATCATTGAGGCCAATACACGTGCATAAAATAAAAAAACTTTGAGTAGTAACACGAGCAATTCCATTAGCGATATAACTGATGATCCAATACACAAGTTAATTACGCCTCCGCTTCTTACTAAAAATAAAATAGGTTTTATTGATAAAAAATCAATTAAGGATAATTATTTATGAAGCAGTCCTCGAAATTATTTTGTAATCAGAGCACATTACTTACAGATGATATCGTATAAGTTGATAATGGTATCCTTGACTATCCTTATCTTGGGATACGCTGATATACCAACTCGCATGCTGTTATGATCGTCCTGAGGCGTAAAGGTTTCATGATCTTTGGTATAGATATCAGTGTCGCAGCTGTTGAGGCAACCGCAATCGCTCGGCGACTTCGGAATGTTAGCACTATTACTGTTAGTGAGATTTGACAAGCTCTCATCAGATAGCGACAATTTTATAAATTCCGTTTTGTGCTCGACGAAGCATGGTAGCTCTGTTAGGTTGCATACTCTTTCGTGATCTGCAATTGAGTTTTAATTGCTTACCTAGCAATAACAGTAACAGAATCACTGTTACTCGAATTAATAATTCATTTATTGCTCATGTAGCTATATTTCTAGAATATAGTAAGACCGGCTAAAAGCATGCGGAATTCCGTTTCGGAAGAGAGAAAATCCATAAAAAATCAAAGTCCATATCACAGCTTTCCGTTTTAAAATTTCTTTTATAGTTTGCTGCCCTCGAAATTCCGAATTAATCGGGGAAACCGAAATGGAATTCCGCACATGTGCCTTTATACCTTAGGTAGGTAGTACTTGCCTAGTCTTTTATAGAAATGTGGTATGCACCCACATATTTCTAGTATCATTTTAATTCTGCATTCAATAATGCAGTGGGTATATGAATAGACTGGGTATCTTTTGCTGATAGGTTCATTCAGAAACCTGAAAAAAAGCGCAAGTTGTAAGTAATTACAGCTGTGGGTGGATTCAATGACTAAACAATGTAGTAGGTATTTTTATTTATAGAATAGATTTCGCGAATATCTCCGCTACTTTTCTAATTAAGTAAGTAGGTACCCCAGTAGGGAGGTACTACGAAAATAGCTAATTAAAATTAGATAATTTGAAGAACGAATAATTTAATTTTTCCCTGCTCTCTTGATTCTTTAGATCGGCATCTGTAATGCTGAAATTATGATTAGGTAGTGAATAATGTTATTATTTTGTATTATAATTATTAATTACTCGCCTGCATTTTCTCACGCTCAAAGGATATTTTGCTAGTCGATGAGATATTCGCGTGCTCCACACTTTCACCCCGAAGTCTATGTAATTATTCAATTTCGAAGTATAAGATGGCGTAGTAGTTTGTATCAGTTCATTTGGGCTATGAATGTAAATCTGAAAATCGTAAAATAAATATGAAAGAGCTTTTAATTAAATTCTTTATCAGTATGTAGGCCCTTTTCATGGCACTTATCTATATCAGAATATAGCTCGTCCTGATGAGAATTAGGCTTGCTTATTAGGTAATAAATTGTAGGTATTACGAGTACAAGGTACCTTATACACATCTGCATAATTTACTAACTGAACGAAGAAATCCCGTTCATGTACCGAAAGGTCAATATTGTTTTTTGCATATTTAGCGGTTGTCCATTTGCTGAAAAAAGAAAACGGATTACCTAATAGATAGACGTCAACATCTTTAAGAATGATTTATATTTTTAAATAGATAGCTGTTCTACATAGTTATACACATTTAAAACTTGTACCTAAAACTACCTTAAATAAATAGTAAAAAAGTTGTACCGGAAAACGCAGCGTGGGTGGGACGTCCACACACAATGTGGTGGACCGACGACATCATAAAGGTAGCAGGAAGATGCTAGACGCAGGCCGCTACCAACCGGGCAACATGGAAAGCAGTGGGGGAGGCCTATGTTCAGCAGTGGACGTTCTATGGCTGAGATGATGATGATGAAAAAAAAGTTGCAGATTTTTTCTTACAGAGGATTATCAAGTTGTGCGACATTGGAGTTGATGACGTGGCACATTCCCATTTCGGTCATAGAGATTTCCACAGAGATGGGCCAGTTGGTGCTCGTGGTCAGGGAATTGTTGTCGAACTTCTTGAACATCATGGCCGCTAGCATTCCGTAATCGGATGGAACTATAACCTAATAAACACGAACATTATCTACTTAATTAGTTAATTGATTAATTAATTTGTTACTTTAATAATTAAGTAGCACGTGACTGACGCTACAACATTATCATTGACAAGTACTGATTTGATGATCTAGATCTAACTGCTATTTTAATTATAATATCGGCAGTTTAACATGACTTTATTGGATTTTTGGAGTTCATTCAACTCTTAAAAACCCTTTTGTTGACCCCACCTGGGGTAGAGTCTATTCGCCTGGAGTACCTACATTTTGCGCAATTACTTATAGTCCCGTTAGCCCCTCGTGCTAAGCTAAATGATTGTGTTACAAGTGGGCTCACCACGATAGTCAAGCGGCAGCGGGATGATGATGATGAATTAGTCACTAGACAGGTAAAGCACGGGACTAATCCCACCTCTCGTTACCACCGCTGCAACTCCTGTGTAGCCAGGATCTACAGCTTGACCGCCAATAAAAACCCAACCAGTGAAGGTCAAGTTTGTCCCGGGGGAAAGTTAAACTGTCATTGGACCCGCAACGAAATTACACGAACATAGGAGGAGTTCGAAGTTCATTTTCTAAGATAGGTAAAGCAGTAAAAATAGTCAGACACGGAATTTTAAAAGTTACGTGTAACTTTCCTACCGAAGTAACATCCAAGTTATCAAAATCCACTATGTCTGCTGTGTCGTAGGAGATGCTAGTGATCACTCTCAGCTGCGTGTCTATGTATTCGCCCGTGCTTTCCATTGTTTCGCTGAAATTAAGTCATTATTCCGTTGGTAATTAATTGGTTAATTAATTGGTGCATCTAATCATTACTCTTGTCAGTCATTAAGCTAATCTATTATAGTAATATGGTCTCTAGGTAGTGCGTCTCATTTAGGTACATGTTATTGTAGAATAAGTTGTAAAGGGTGGAGTTAGGTAAAAAAAACAAGTTACTAAAATAAACTCGTAGCAAACGAATTTAAACGTAAGTAATGATTATGCAAGTAGATTGGTAGGTATAATAAGAATTCACATGGGCAAATCGTATAGGTACCTAGAAATTTTACAAGCTATACAAAAGCTTTTTAATCAAGCTACGGTCAAAGCTTAAAAAATAAACGCTAGCTCAAAAACCAAAGAACTATAAAAATCATACTTGACCAGTTCATTCAGGTCGTCGTCTTCTATTTTGTACATCGGGCACAGCGTGATGGCGGGGTACGATATGTTCCAGTTGAAATAGTCCATTTCCACACTCGTGACGATCGCTGAGGTCTGCCAATGAATTTATATTGCTCTACATTGCTCGATCAAGATTGGATTTCAATATTATCTACGTTCTACATATAGTTCAGATTGGCTTTTAATTTGGTAACTTGGTTTATAAGGCATAGTATTTAATACATATTTTAAGATTTAACAGTTGTAAAAATAATAAAATAAAAAGTAAAAAGATTAAATAAATACTTACAGTAAACCTGAAATACTGTGTTTCCAACAACGCTATAAGAATAGTTACCGCGAGTAGAAAGTTAACCGCCCAAAAAGTCCTGTAATATTAGAATAAATCACTAAATACTTCAGGAGCCAGGATACTGTGTTAAATTGAACGTGACAGAATGTTATTTTAACACTAAAGTCTAGACTAAAACCGTTTTAGTGTCAAAAGTTAGGACTCTGATGATTTATACAGTGTGTCCGGGCTTGTAGTGATCAAACTTTAAGGGCAAAATCTAGGGTCAATTTTATCGATAAAAATACTTCAAATTTGGGACCTGACCCATTTCTCGAAAAATTACATCGATTTAAGTTTTTAATTTTTAGTTTACACCTCTTCTATAAAAAACAATTGAAAGCGTGGGTTGCTTAACATTAATAGGCAAATATTTTATATCATGCGATAGCCAATAAAATTATCTATTAGTAAAGAAGAAAGCAGACACAAGTTTCATACATTTTATGGGAGTAAGAATGGATTTAATTAGAAAAATACATTACTTTTTTCACTTCTTTTTCAGTTATTTTCCAACACAAGAAAAACCCCTTCCGCTGGGAAGGGGTATCTTTGTTCAACAATTACGTCGAAACTAATAGACGTAGACTAATAAATTTACATTCGTTTTGTAGAATAGCTCAAATACTAATAATACAATGCAAATAAAACACACCTTAACGACCTGGTTTTTCTTGTGTTGGAAAATAACTGAAAAAGAAGTGAAAAAAGTTATGTATTTTTCTAATTCAATCCATTCTTACTCCCATAAAATGTATGAAATTTGTATCTGTTTTCTTCTTCTACTAATAGATAATTTTATTGGCTATCGTACGATATAAAATATTTGCCTATTAATGTTAAGCTGCCCACGCTTTCACTTGTTTTTTAAAGAAGAGGTGTAAACTAAAAATTAAAAACTTAAATCGATGTAATTTTTCGAGAAATGGGTCAAGCCCCAAATTTGAAGTATTTTCATCGATAAAATTGTTCATAGATTACGCCTTTAAAGTTTGATCACTACATGCCCGGACACACTGTATAACATAATAACAATTTATTTAACAGGAATAAATAAAATATAGTTTGTTTATTTCACGCTACACACGATCAAGCAGGATAGAATAAACGTTTGGCAGGTACACATAGATTAGCATGGGATCTATACTTTGCAAATTAGTCAATCAAACCTAATCGTACCTATCTATCAAGCAAATTGGACGACCGACTTGATCGTGTGTACGCTCGTAATGGTGTATCAACGTTTACCTTCCTGCCCAATGTATTTCCCTGTTTACAATGTAAGGCAGCCCGTGGGTAGTACAAGTTCTTAACTCACTCACTAAATAGTTTATTAGTTTCTTTTTCCTCAGTTTCCTCGCGTAATTATCACGTTTCTTCTTGAATAATGGCCTGTTTTCCCTCGCTCTTAGGCCCATCACGAATGATAAATAAGTTTATAACTTATGACTAGTTTTCTGAGTCACAAAATGAACACAAATGACTTTGCGTGTGAATATATAGCCTTCGGGTACGCTAGTATTAGTTATTCTGAGCCTTGGGTTAAAAAGGATTGGAGTAAGAATGTTGTTTGCATTTTTTGGTCATACGATATTTTATAACTTGCAGATGTTTCAGGGCTATGATTCACAATAAAGATTTGTATTTGTATTTGACTATTTAACTAAGGGTGAGTTGCACCACCTAATTTTAACGTTAACTATGACGATAACCGATGCATTTTGTATGGAGTTTGACAGATTTTTGACGTTTGTCAAAGTTAAAGTAAGATGGTGCAACACAGCCTAATAGTTGTCTGTAGCTGTAGCTTACTATAAAAGTTCTACATTTTAGACTGTTACAGAAAATCTTCACTTAGCCCCTTGTTTACCGACAAAAGGTAGCCTAGTTAATTTTTCTAGATCTAATCAACCCCTATTACAGCATAATAAATTAAATAGCTTCTGTGGTTAAATCCTGCAAACGAAAATTTTAGGAATTTTAATTACTTAATTTAGCCACGGCCATCTACCTATTAGATTAAACTTCTAATGTATGTAGCATCCTAAGCCTGGTTTTGGTATTCTTCTGTTTATTCCTTTCTTTAAGGCTCTTTGTATTAGATAGGTGTATGTTTAACGCTGGCATTAACTGGCAGTATCCGGATACTCCACATCTTTTATGTTCTGTTTGATAGTTATCTAACAGTTAACTGTGGCTATCCACTGTTCAATTACTAGCCTGGTTTTGGATTCTTTGCGGTAACAATGCTGTTGTTCAGATGTCATTAAATCTTCATGGAACGGTGTGTCCTATTGAAAACGGGTTTTATTATTCCATTATTATGAAAAATTACATTGTAATAAGCTTTTGTAAATACATAAATACCTACTCTTTATTCGGCTACTGCCAGTGAAAAGCTCATTGGTAAGGTAATTTAGTAAACATTGTAATTTCAATATCATTTATCATATTATTAAAAGTCTCAAATGCAGAGGTAGATATTTCTTAAATTCGAGACCATCGCCTACTTAAGAAAGAGGCTAAAATGCAATTAAGAATTATAAAGTATTAAGTGAAATGAAGCTTAAATGGATTTAGAAAATTAACTTAATTAAACAATAAGCTTTTAATTTCTTCAATTGTCCTTAATGAAAGGTATAATGGGAGAATCTCGGCGAATGGAGCCGGGAGAATTTTGTTAATAAACGTTTTGTAGGCGTTATCACATCAATCCAAAATAATTAAACAATTTGCATGATTATTCTTTTTTCATTAAAATCTCGTAAGAGCGTAGGTGGATCTTACACGTTTTCTCTTATTTCATTAATATTTTTTTTAGGCGAGGACCTACTTTAATTGTTAATGCTTACTATACATAAAACGCAACTCTGTTAATTAATTCACTGTTTTGTCCCTTTGTAAAATGCCGAAGTTAACGTTGGACTTTTTAGTGACGAAGCGTTCATTGGGTAAAATTGTATAGGGCTGCTTTAATTTTTTATGAGTAGGTTACACGTGTATGGCAAGGTAGGTGGTTAATTTATAGTTAAGTACGCTTTTGTGTACTAAGGACGGCAAGCATATGAAGCTACTAATCTAAACACTATGGCATCTTTCGTAGTTATAATAAGTTCCTAAAATATACAAGTTTGATGTGTTATTGACTTAACACGTGAATGTTACCTCGACTACCTGCCTCATTTACCGGATTATACATATTGTATGTATTTACTGCTTACTGCGTTTACAAACAAATCGCCACAAAGTGATATGCGCGAAACAAGCGAGCGTGTGAGTGATGCAGAGGCGCGATCCGCTCGTCCTCATAAAGCCCTGGAGGCTCGTAGCGTAGCAAACGGTAACTTTATCAGAATGCCCGTGTTGTAGTCAAGAATGCCCTAATCGGCCATTTGCTAGCGTTAAGCCCCTATTTATTATCGTAACTAGCGGAGCACTATCGCTTTCGGGCGAGTCGGAGATCGTTCCGTGTTTCTTACACGCCCATTTGTCTGTACCCTCTTACTAATTCAACAAAACGCAAGAGCCGCAGAGATAACAAGTTCCTTTTGCAGATTGCCGATGGAATTGTTCGATCTCCCCGGTCTTACAAAAACAAACTCCTACATGTATCCTTAGAGCGCTACTTAACGTATCATGCCTGTATGTACTTAGAGTACATACCTATCCTGCCCTCAATTCAAGCATCCATAGTAGGTATTAGCTCTGTAATCAAACAGATTTAGTAGCATAAACTAGGTTTTATTACCATGTTTTGGATAACCAGTACAAACTAGTTTGATTAGGATTTACAGGATGATTTACGTATAATAGTTACATTGCTTACTATGCCAAAATTTCGGCCTAAACTTGAAGCACCTACATAATGTGTGTATGAAACTAATCACAGTTTTGTTTGTCAGACATTATGACAGAGCTAATTAGCTTTATCAGCAGTAATTAATTTACGAAGAAATATCAGCTGTTTATTTTATTACAGAATTACGATATTATGGCGGATAATATTGGAAAATAAAACATGGATAAACTGCGTCGAGTTCCTGGTTCAAGTTGGGATTATGCAAAATAGTTTCCAATGTAAATTGAGCGGCTGCTAACCTTGGGCATGCTGCTTTACGAGCCTGGGCTATGTTAACTACCTATGTATTTTTAAACGGTATTTTAACTAGCAAACAAGTATGAATACCTACTGCTGTTGCATTTTTATTCAAAAATAGCTGAGCTATTTTATTTATAAACTCAATTTTGGATTACTTGTAGTAGGTATACAATAGTACAACTGCTATGGTGAACTCAATATCTGAATATCTGTGAAGTTAACTCTAATCGGTTTTATTAAACCCAGTGCCAAAGTCAAAAGAGGCAACATTTAGATACAAAAAGTTAGGACGAGAAAGCCTTCTGATTCTTTTTCAGACACGCTACGTAACATTTCAAAATAAAAAAGCTGTTTATTTAGTTACGTAAACGAGTATCTTAACAACCTAAAGGCTAGGTTGCACCATCTTTTTTATCTTTAACAAACGTCAAAAATCTGTCAAACTCCATGCAAAAAACATCGGTTATCGTTACAGTTACCGTTAAAGTTAGATGGTGCAACTAAGCCAAAACAAAACGCAATAAACTTAGAAGTGTTGAGGCTGAGGTAACCCAATGTCAGTGGGCGGGCAGCATCATTACTCTTTGTCGAAGTTCGCTCGCCAGCCGCAGGCTCAATCTCCGGCGCTGAAGACTTAGATTACCTAGGCTCCGAAGCTGTTTAACATCTAATAAAGACTTTTTACCGCAGTCACGTATTTAATTAAACTGATGACGTAACTTTGTATAAATGGGTTTATTACTTGTGTTTCGTGCCAATATACTATTCTTAAAAGGTTTTGATTTTGTTACATTAGGTTACAGCTATTGCTCCTTCTTTCTTCTCTCCTTACTTTCAACTGCATCTTCGTTATTATAGTCAATTTGTTTCTGGCTAATTATTTATTTATTTATTCATTTGCATTAACATATTCAGCACATACAGATATACCTACATGCATTCATACATTGACCCTGTAAGGGTGTAGCAAAGTCACAATCATTTAATACTTAGTTAACATCTAACATTAACAATTACAAAATAATGCTTAATGGTAATAATTATCCTTAATATTAATATAAATTACATTATTTTATTGTACAATTATATACTAAGTACCTAAGTATATATTATATTATTTTATTATTATAAGTAGGATATTGCACTATATTACATTTTATTTTCTGAAAGATATTGACACATTCTCTTTCATTTTTTTAAGGGTTAGGTCACTCATGTAATTCGCAGACAGTGGTGACTGAGTTTGTTGCGGCGCTTCTTCTCAGCACTTGCCAAATGTTGGTCTCGAAGCGCTGGTAGGGTAAAAAGATTATGAGACATGTAGAGGCTCCTTAAGAGCAAAATGACGATTTGTAAGAACTATTTATTAGTCTAAACAAATAAAGAAATTTTGACTTTGACTTTGACTTTGTCAACACTGTAGTAACTTTTATCAAATAATAGGGATCTCAATTTGAATTTGAATGTATTTGTTTTTGTTTTAGTTTTTAGGTATTCAGGGACTTGATTATAAATTTGGATGCAGCGATACTGTGGACCGTTTCTGTACAAATCTAACTTTGGGACTGGGAGTGCAAGTTGGTGTCGGCGGCGTATATTTTTGTCGTTTTGGAACAGATGTTTATTATTTTTTACGAATAGCGCAGCTTCCATTATGTACAGTGACGGGAGAGTTAGGACCCGTTCCTTGATAAAATGTGGTTTACAGCTTTCCCTAGTGTGGGTCATGCTCTTGCAGTAGAGTCTAAATGACTTGATGATTATGATTACCACAAAAGGCAGTGCAGTCATACATACGTAGAACGCGTGTTACACCATGTATTATTTTTTTATGCACTTTCACATAATTTCATTTCCATTCTAATCGAGTTTGACATCTGTATAATATTAGGTAATAGGTAATATTTTAAGATCGAGCTGCAAAACCCATATCAAGATTAATTTCACTAATTTTAACCTAAGTAAATGTAAAGTGGAAAGATGTCTTTTTAATTGAATATGTTAGCGACGGACGAATATGATTATGGGCATGAATTCAATTGCTCAACGTCCTTCACATTGCGAACGATTAAGTCAAGAGCCTTTCGCCAACCCATAGTAATAGACTCGAAGCAGAGTTAACTCCCCGAATATAATATCAGATTAGGACAGTATTGGTACCGGTGGTTGGCGGTCAGGAATTAGCAGACTTCTCTGTCGGTCGGTGGTCGATAGATTTAAACTTCACTCGTCGACCGCGGCTAACTGTTGACTCCAACGGTCTCAGTTCACTGAATACGTGTCAGTTGGCCAACTGGGTTAGCAAAAGAGATAGTTTGT